CGTAAATCAGCAATAGATTCAGCAATAGATTTAGCAATACAATGAGCATTTAAATCTAATTTAAATTACAACTTTTAGATCCATACCTTTCTGTTGCATTCTTGATGTCCGTTTTGGTGAAGTGTGCCATTTGACGATGACGGACCGGCCTGCATTTTAGAAGTAACAGCAAAGAAATGGGGAAATTTTGCAAAGAAAGAAATGGGGAAATTTTCATGTAAAGGTATATCAATAAAGGTACTACTTGGTTATCGGGCCTGTCTTATTTCAACCCCAAATCGGTACTATATTTAGTGAAATGTTAATGCATAAATATTAATGAAATAAATAGCTGTAACAGCTGGCTTTTTCTGAAATTTATCTTCTAATAGTACCTGTTGTAACCAGGAAAGATGTGTTTTTGAACTATTTCTTTCGATACACAATTTTTCTAATCACGCACAAAAGCGCAAAAAAAACAGCGCAAACAAAACAGCGCTTAGGCTGATCGTATTATGTTGTTAAAATAAGCTCTGAATTTTTTCTAAACCGTTTTTGGCCATCGTCCACCATCTTCGCCTAGTTTCTCTTCCTAAAGCCTAAAGGAGGTTTGAAGGAGCTCTTTATTTCGGTATCTCAAAAAGGCCCTTCCTTTCGCCTCTCCCTGCAATTTCTTCTCTTTTCCTCCACGTTTCTCGTGTGTTTACAGGTTTTCTTGCGTACATTTTTAGCTCCTTTTTTTTTTATTTGATTCCTTTCTTTATCCTCCCATTTTTCCTTTCTTCTATTTTTTTTTAGCCTTCCAAAATTTCTTTCTTAAATTTTTCCTCTTTTTTTTTTTGCTTCTTTTTTGAAGTTCCGCTTCTCTCCTAGATTTCCTAATTCGGGTGATCAAGTGGGCGTTTATCAAGGCATTGGTGAAATCTCTATCCTCGGAATTGAGAATCTTGCCAAAGACAATCCAAGGGAACTATGCGGGTCAAGGACTTGATTGGGGCTTCTCATTCACTTATTTGGGAAAAACCCTGAGGAACGAATCAGTTAGCTAGACTCTCCGATTCATTCCATCCGAACTCCTTTAAGGAGGGGACACGCTTCGCTTTTCGCTTTACCCCTCCAGTCTTCTCCAATTTCTTCTCTAAGTTTCTGCCGTGTTTTCAGATTTGCCTTTTTCCAGCTTTTTCTAGTTTTCTTCCCGCTATCACGAGACCTAATTTGGCCAATTCTCACCACTTCCCTAAGGAATCTTCCCATTTCTTCATCACTTCTTATTTTTCAAAGTTTTGAAAAGCCTTCGAAAAGGCTAATTCGATCAATTGACTTCCTTAACAATTTTCTCTCCTTACTTTCCTTGTTATTTTTGCTTGAATTTAAGAGTTTAATTAGATGGTTTATTGACTTATAAGCCTGATCTTCTTGGCTTGATTTGTCTTTAAATAATCTTTTCGAAAAAAGCGTCCTAGGTTCGAGTCTTGGTATCTCGAGACTCTTCTGATCCTAATATTTTTCAATAGTCAATTCTGACCAGACATTTACTTGAAGATGCCGGTGCTGTGGCCGAAAATTCACTTCCACTTTACTAGCTACAAATGAAATAGAGGGGAAAATATTCCAAAAAAAGTTTTAAGATTTAGAATCATATATTATTGGAAAACCCTGTTTTTAAAATAACTTGTGTTTGATCGATCAACTGGAAGTGGAGATAAGTAGAATTGTTGAGGATGGCACCATTCTCTCAAAAAGTATGGGGTAACCTTTAAAAAGGTAGGGTGCAACCTTTTAATATCTATTTTGCTGGATGTTTACTTAGTAAGTCTACAAAACCAATAATACATGTTTGATAACAGGCCTTTATTTTAACAAACCTGTATTATAACAGGCCTGTATTACAACAGACCTGTATTATAACAGGCCTGTATTATAACAGGCCTGTATTACAACAGACCTGTATTATAACAGGCCTCTATTATAAAAGGCCTGTATTATAACAGACCTGTATTACAAGAGACCTGTATTATAAAGTTTGTAGTACAACAAACTTTTAAGTTTGCAGTACTGCAAACTTTGTGGTACTGCAAACTTTGTAGTATTGCAAACTTGTGGTACTGCAAACTTTGTGGTACTGCAAACTTTGTAGTACTACAAACTGAAAGCCTTCTCAGTACTGAAAGCCTTTTAGTACTGAAAGCCTTTTCAGTACTGAAAACCTTTTCAGTATTGAAAGTACTACAAATTGCAGTACTGCAAAGTTTGCAGTATGTACTACAAACTTAAAAGTTTGTAGTACTACAAAGTTTGTCCTGGTCCTGGTATCCTGGTACAGTGCATGAGGATCCTTTCGTCTTTCGCCTAAATAGTCGAACTTTGACTGAGATTTTCACCATGTTTTTATGTTAAAGTTTACTAAGTAATTTGTGTCTATAACCAAATTTCATAAGGCACATTTTATGAGCAAAAGTTGTTCATAAAATCGTCGAAATTATGAACAACTCGCGCATGAGAATCTGAGTTGGACTGCTCTTCTCTTTTGTCTGATATCCCTACTTGCAATTGACGGATCGACTTGGGGTTGGTTTTAAAATGTAGCTAATGAAATTCGATTATATAAAACTATAACTCGCTTAGTAAACTGCAATATAAAAAGATAGAAAAAGTGTGCAAAAAGAGTGCTTTTTGTAAGGTCAACTCTGAATTTTTTAGATAGATTTGAATTGTACCCTTAAAACTAGGTCTAGAAAAGTGTTTTCAAATATTTTGGAAAAAAAATTATTTTAAGAAAAAAAGGAGAGTCTAATACCTTAGCTTTTTTTCAATAAAAATTTTTTTTAAGATTACTTTTCTAGATGTAGTTTTAGTCGAGGAGTTCGAATCCGTCGAAAAAATCGGGGCTCATCTAATAAAAAGTACTCTTTTTCTTTAACAACTGTGCTATTGTTCCGCGGAAGCTTATCACTCTTTTCTCTTCCTCCATATCTGCATTTTCAGTTAACCGATCAACTTGCGGTTGTTCTTAAAATGTTCCTTATAAAATTTCCTACCGGAAACTCTTGTACTTCCTTTACTTTAAATGGATCATAGACTTTCGAGATTGCCGTTACTTTAAAAGATTTACAGCATTTTAAAGATTGGAAAATCTAAACTGATCTCTCTTTGTTGCCTTTCTCAAGCCAGTCACTCTACCTTTCTTTTTAACAATCTATATATAAAATCAATTGTTTGCTTCGTCCATTTGTACGCGCGAGATCTCGGCTTCCCGTGAGCCGATTTACGTAATTTTTAGTGTTAGGCTTAGAATTCTGAGTAGTTTTGCATCTCATATTTTATTTTTTCAAAATCAAAAGTCGGATCGCAACCGGGGTTCGAACTCGGACCCTGTGGGTGCTAGACGAGGGCACTCCTGGCTGCGCCACGTCGAGTTAAGAACCAGCAGGAAAAACAGCGAGAAACCTCGCCGAACCGCGCTTTTTTGCCTGGCCAACTTCTATCTTTTCCTTAACAATTTATCAATAAATCGTATTTTTATTCTGAAAACTATATTCTTAATATATTCTTATATTCTACTCTTATATTTTACTCTTAATATATTCTTAACATATTCTCCTCTTTTATATCATCTCTTTCACTTTTCCCCTCTTTATTCAAATTTCAGATGACTTCTGTACATTCGGCGGGTCCATCAATGCAAGTGTACAGCACCGAAGTCACCTCATTTTTCCCTTCCCTACGCTTTTTTGTTCATTTTCGGAACGGCTGGCAACGTCGCTGTGCTCACTTATGTTTTCTTTGTGACAAGGTAAATTTGTTCCCTTTTTTTTTCTTTCCTTTCCCTCTCCCCCCCCCCCCCCTTTTTCCCTTTAAAAAAAAAATTTATTTTTTTTTTTTTTTTTTTTTTTTTTTTTTTTTTGAATAGAATTTTTTATCAGGTTTAAATGTTTGAATGTTTCAATCTAGCTATTAAATGAATTATGATGAAAATTACAAGCTTAAATTTTTTTAAAAACTCAACTTGGGACTTAAATAATGAACTTTAAAGCTAAAGCAATGTTGTTTTTATCTTAATTGAATATAATGGCTTAATCAGGCTTTAGAGGATTTTAAAAGTGCCTTATTACAGTAATCCGACTAATAAAGTCCGACTCCGACTGGCTTTTGTTTTGGAAATGTTTCAAGTTTCAAGAAAGCTACAAATCTGACAAGGGGATGAGGAATAGGAATGCAAAATGAGGGTGAAAGAAAAAGAAAAAGAAAGCTTTGATTGCAAATATGAAATATCGTTTCAGAAAAAGCTTGAATTGCAAATACCAGTTGGATATCTTTTCATATCATCCAACATATTCCAAATATCTTTTCAGTTCAGTTTATAACCTTAAAGTTTGTCTTGCAACAAAACAGATAAATATTGTTTTGTTGTGTGTTGCAAAAGGTTTGACGGTGGCGGGACTCAAACCAATTGTAAGGATAGGCATTGTAGTAATCTAATGCCCAAACCCTTAGGTCATCATTGCTCTTGTTTCCCTCGCGTTTTGAGCGTTCTTATTGGCTAGGGCTTAGGCTTTTCTAAGGCCTTAGGCCTTAAAACTCTATTGGCTTCTTTCGAAAATTCCAAACAACCATTCTTGAATGAATTTGAGCTCAAAATTGACTAAAACAGTTTTCGGTTAGTGGCATGCCGACTTAGTGACATGCCTAAAAAATTTAGTGACCTTGCCAATTTCAGATCCTTACGATCCTCAGTCACTGCTTTGGGAAACACATTCGTCTACATGGTCGTTTTGTCGGGAGTCGATCTTTTGGTCACAATGTCAATTCCATTTCATTTATCAGGTAGATGAGTTTTTGAGATTGTTTCAAACAAATTTCAGTGATGGTGCTAGAGAATTGGATTTTCGGGCAACTCGCTTGTAAAATCTACTTTCTTTTAGAGCTTTCGAATAAGGTTTTGACTCGAAAGCAACCATCTCCAACAATGATTCTAGATCTGTTCCTCTTTCATCCTAACAGCTCTAGGTTTTGATCGATACATGGCGATCTGTCATCCGGAAGTGAAACGGGTAAAAATGAGGGAAAAGGCTGTAGCAGTACACTAGAAGTACACTAGAAGTACACCAGAAGTACACTAGCAGTACACTAGCAGTACGCTTTTAGTAGTACGCTTTTAGTAGTACGCTTTTAGTAGTACACTTTTAGTAGGACACTTTTAGTAGTACAATTTTAGTAGTACACTTTTAGTAGTACACTTTTAGTAGTACACTTTTAGTAGTACACTTTTAGTAGGACACTTTTAGTAGTACACTTTTAGTAGTACACTCACAGTACACTCACAGTACACGCGCGTCGTCGTTCAATTTTTCACTAATGATTTGATGAAAAAGATAAACTAAACCATTAAAGAAATCTGAAATCAACTCAAATCAGCTGACACATTCATTCCATCCATTTCCAGGTTCACCAAATGCGTCAAACGGCAGCCATTGTGACTGGGATCATCTGTATCTCGACAATCCTAATTGCGCCCGTTGTCTTCTCAGCTTATGTAAAAGAATTTCACTCTGACGACATTTTCACGAGGATCTTAGAAAAGAAACCAAAACCTGAGGTGAAAAGAAAAGAAGCTAGAAGTTTAAGGTTGCCATAAATGCCATAAATTTTCGGTAGTCTATTGCTGAATGAAATATACAAGATCTCAGAACGTTCAGTCAACAATTGAACACAATAAAAAAGAGACTCAGACTTTACAAAGCTCTTACAGTAAATACAGCACTTTACCTAACCATAAACGATAATTGAATATATTTTAACTTCCATAAAAGCCAAGTGATTCAGGAGGAACACTGTACTTATTACTGTACTTCTGTCGTGCTCAGTACTGTATTTCAGGAGTACGGTACTTCAGGAGGAGTACTGTGCTTCGGGAAGAGTACTGTGTTCCGGGTACTGAACTTCAGGGTGCTGACTTTGGTACTGTACTTTGGGGTACTGGCTTCGGTATTGTACTTTGGGGTACTGTACTTCAGGGTACCTACTTCGGTAAGGTACTTTGGGGCACTGTACTTTGGGGTACTGTACTTCAGGTACCTACTTCGGCAAGGTACTTTGGGGTACCGTACTTTAGGATACCTACTTCGGTACTGTACTTCAGGGTACTCACTCCGGTATTGTACTTTGGGACTGTACTTTGGAGTGCCTACTTCGGGATACTATACTATAGAAGTAATACTTCAGGGTACTTACTTCGATACTGTACTTTGGGGTACTGTACTTTGAGGAATTATGTCTCAGGAGAAGAACTATCCCGTCAACTATTTAAACTATTTAAAAATAGTATTTGCAAAACCCTGTTGCTTTGCTCATAGCTTTGCTGTTGAACTGTTGAAGCTGTTGAAATTTGGATATGAAGATTTTCCAGAGGATCACCTATCCAATTGTGAAACAAACGTGCGTTGACGGGTTGAGTATCACGATGAAATTCTGGGTAATCTCAGTGATTTTCTAATTTCCAAAAAAACTTTTCTCCAGTTTCTATGCGCCATGGTTGTCGTTGCTTTTCTGCTCCCATGCACTTTACTCACATATTTCTACGCGAGAATCATTTTGAGGTTGAGGCGACAGATACGGTAAGTGATCGTACACTTGTAGCAATTGCAAACACAGGAAACTTGAGGAAATTTAGCTTTCTTTAGCTAGCTTAGCTTTCTTTAGCTTTCTCTAGCTTTAATTTAGCTTAATCAACCAGTTCTAATGCAAACAATGCCTTTCAGCACAATGTTACAATCAAGAATCCCCATTAAACGGATCACCATTTACACATTGGTTGTCACATTGTTCTACTTCGCATGTCAGGTATTTGAAAGAAGAACTAAGTGTGAACTAAGTAAAGAATCTTGTTTAATCAATGAATATCTTTAGATTCCCTACTGGTTACCGCAAATCTACTTGATCTTTGCGAAAATCTTTCATCTTTCTCTCAGTCCTGACTTCATCAAGATCACCCATGTGGCGCATATGCTTCCCTTTTTGGCCGCGGCGTTCAATTGGATTTTCTATGCCCAACTGAATAGTCACTTCAAAAAGGGACTCATTTTGGTCACCGAACGAATGCACAGGAAAATGACAAGGTTCGATTTACAAGCTAGACCAAGCCATAGACCAAGCCCAAGCCGACAGGAGAATTGAAAACATGATAGTTACCCAGCGCAATTACAAATTGACCACTGATAACTCTACAAAACTTACCACCGAAATTTTCTACCGTTCTCCGTCTACTGTACCTGGGATGACCACCGTAATTCCTAGTTCACCTTAAATGTAAATCAGTGAGCCTGTTGATTTGGTCAGATTCGGGATCAATAAACCTAGTGATCCGATGAATAAAGTAAAGGAGCAGAAGCTTTTCTGTGTCCCATTCTTACTGCATCTCTCATTCCCTGCTCGTCTGACATTTCCATTCCCTATAGTTCCACTGAAAGTCCATAAAATTCCATGCTTAAACTTAGGCTTAGGCTTAGGCATAGACTCAGACTTAGGCTTGTGATCCTGGCCTATCCTTGAACAAAGTCTACAACAAGCAGAATGCAGTTGATGAACTTGAATAATCGGTATTTATTCCAGAACGGGTAGAAAGCGAGTAGCTGACACGATGGACGAGTTGTGTATCGAGATAATGTCGAGGAGTGAGGAGGCGCCGAATTGTGTTTGTCCAAACTGTGAGCAGCCGCTGTCGATCAAGGTAGGCAAAATGGAACAGTTAGATACATACAGAAGAAGAATCTCTCTTACACCTTCAGTACTTTTTCTTCAGGTTCAAAAGATCAGCACCTCAGTGAACGGGAATAACGCAAGCTACGTGTAAATATCGTTAAATATCGCTAATTTTTCGTTTTTTTTTCTTTCTTTTTCGAATTGCCTTGCTTTTATGTTGATTTTTGAGGTTTCTCTTCTATTTTTGATCTTTCTTCACTAGTTTGATCTGCAATTTTAGTAAATATAAGTAAATTAGTAAATAGAAAAAAACAGCGAGTTCGAAATAAATACCTTTTATTCACGAATCATTTGAAAAACCCAGAGAAAAACTAAATGGAGAGGTGTGCTTTGTGTTTGTAAATGGAAGCGCATTCTTTCTAGAGCACTTGACCCTTTTCAATGTTGATTTTGATTGAAAAACAAAGTATCCCTTAAATTTCCCTTAAAATCAGTCAAAATTGAGGAAATAAACTCCATAAACTCTAAATAAACTCTCCGTATGCCTCGATCTCGATACACAACTCGTGTCAGCTACTCGCTTTGTACCCGTTCTGGAATAAATACCGATTATTCAAGTTCATCAACTGCATTCTGCTTGTTGTAGACTTTGTTCAAGGATAGGCCAGGATCACAAGCCTGAGCCTGAGTCTATGCCTAAGAGGGTTCGATACTGTACTTTGGGGTACTGTAAGGCAATAAATTTGAGGTATGACAATGTCTCAGCCAGTAAACAAGTAATCAGGTACAAGCTCAAAGCCAGACTGCTCGTGTTTGGGATCACGGTGACGTCGCTCTCTTAGAGGTGGACCTTAGATATTAGTAGTGAAAAAACCTTATGTTATCTAGCTGGAAACGGATATTGACACCAGTGATGATCTTGGAAAGCGAGTATGCCTCGAAGCCAGGGGCTTGACACTGAAAGAGCCGATGCTCGCTTTTGGAATGGGAGATGGTAAAATTCAAAAGTTGTCTAGCGATGAACAAGACACCTTCTGCGGTCGCGGAAAAGCCACGACTAAGGCAAATATCCTTTGAGCTTTCAACATTGCTTTTAGGGAGATTCCGGTGGCCCGCTTGTAGCAAAATTCGGTCAGCTTTGGTACCAAGTGGGAATCATGAGCGACTCGTCCAGCCTTGGATACAGTTATTTTCTAGTGGCTTAAAAGTTCCCTTCATTTTCAGCGAGGGCGACTCCGATCACCTCGAAACTTTGCGAGTGGCTCAATAAAGAGACAAAAACCATCATTTGCTAAGCCGCTGCCAAATAGAATGAATTCAATGACAAAAATGTCACGCCCCCTTTGCAATCTTCTGCTTTTGAGTTATCAACTTTCTTCAGCGAGAACCCGGGGCGGGTTTTTGGAGAATCAAAAACCCGGGGGCGGGTTTTTAAAGAGTGTCCGAGAACCCGGGGCGGGTTTTTGGAGAGTCAAGCCGAGTTCCTTGACTAATATCGTATGCGATTTTAGTCAAGGGATTCACGATTTCCTTGACTAATATGGTATTGGTCAAGATTTGGATGGTAAAAAGCCTAAGCAAACTCTAGGTTTTAAGTGCAAATTCGGATTCTACATAAGATTTGGACCTAGAAAAAGTACTTTATAAGATACTGCGTAAAGGTTTTCTTCCCTTTTAATATGATCTTCATACACTAGGATCATATAAAATCGCGATTTTATATCGCGATCCTGGTACGTATCTAGATAAAATGATCAATTCTTTTGAATCAATTGAATTGTCATCCCGCCACTTGTGCGATCCATCTGAAACTTGAAAAATTGATTTAAAATTGATTTGAAAGTCTATTTTATCTATTATCTAGAGTATCTAGATAAAATGATCAATTCTTTATCTAATTATTAAGATCATGAAGTTAATTAGATATAGAATTAACAAGGGAAAGATTTTCAGAATCAATCTGAAAGGGAAAGCTCATGAAATAAGTAATTCTTGATGCGAATTTTAAGAGATATTGTTAATTTAATGGTTTGTGCAGGGTTGAATCAATTAAAGTTTTGTCTCTTAATCTCTTTATCTCTACAAAATATTCATTGTGGTCCGGGGAGCGATCGAGGGGAGAGGCTGCGACGCTCCTATCTGAATGTCTTCCCAGCTCCTTTTGCATTCATTCTCCGGTCTCCTTCATTTCAGTTTTCATGCTTTTTTGTTTATATCTTTCAATTATTATGAATAATCACTACCTTTGGAATAATCACTACCTTTAATACATGACTTTTCAGTAAAATAATTTTAAGGCATCCCCGAACTTTGTTGTTGGCGCATTGTTGATGGTTTTCGAACAAATAACACGTTCTTGTCTGAGGATGCCTTTTTATTACCATGAAGCCATTGGCATTGACGGCTATTGCCCTAGGGCGCGAGATTTAATTAGAACGCTTGGAATTGGCAAGAGCGAGAGCTAGGGACCAAAAAAGGAGTATAAATGCTAATAGATTTTACTTTTCGCTTTAAGACTGCGATGACGAGCAGTGAGGCTTTTATGCGGGGTTTATGAAGTAAATAAAAAATCAAATTTCAAAAAATCAAAAAATTCTATTTTAAAATTAATAATTTTTCTATTTTTCACCATGGTTTCTGTGTTTGATAACCAACCAAAGTTCTTGGCTTCGGTTTTTTTAGAATCTTTAATTACATCTTTTTGTCTTTTGTGTCATCACTTTTTTGAAACTTTCAAGAGTTATTCTAATATCGATAATAGAATCAGTAAATAGCCAATTCAATGTAAAAATAGAATGACATCAAAATGTATTTATTTTTCCTGAAAGCACTGCTTGCTTTAGTATTCCAAATATGCTTGTATAAATACTCCAAAGAAATCTATTATGAATGAAACTTGTCTTCTTTTTTGCCAAAAAACGTTCTTCAAAAACTTCAAAGCCAACAGCTTTTTCTATAAGATTTCAGTGAAGAAAACTGAACAAGAAAACGATCAGCTAGGGAAAATGACTTGGACTCAATTTGTCGACTCTTTTTTATAAACTTTTTTTGTGAAAATCGGAAAGCGATTAGGAGTGAGTGGGAAAATAGTCTTGAACTAAGAGGAAAGACTGCAAAATGAACGTGTTTTGCAAGAGAGGGTAGAAATATTTATCAAATTTACCTATAATTCAAGAAGCTATTATAGAAATTGTTGATGGGATTCAAAGCAACTTGTGTTTAACCTTTTGATTTAAAGCTTATTATACTAAACTAAACATTTCAGTCAGTTATTCTGTCATACAATTTCTCTAAATTTGCCAGAAAACTGGGAAAGTTGGGTTTACCAATTTCTGAACAATTTCTCTACTTTGTACGTGATCTTCATTGCAATTAAATCTATATAAATTTGCAATTAAATCTATATAAACTTACCTTAAATCTACTTTTTCCGGGCAACTCCTTTACTTTTTTATTAATCAAATGATCCTTATTATCTTTTCTAATTTTAAACATCGATTCTACTCAACTCTATCATTACATAAACTTTCCTAATCAACTTTTCCTAAGCGATCTCGTGAAAGCCATTTATTGGAATTTCCCTTGGTTATAAACTGCTCGTTTTCGCAAGAAAACTAGTGCACGAGAAGTAGTGCGTTTACGAGCACAAAATGAAGCTGAAGGCGAATTTACAGCTATAGAAAGAAGAGCTATAGAAAGATTCTGCATCTAACGCGTTTGGCACTGATTTCAAACTGCAAACTCAATTTCACTTTCTCAAAGATAACCGAATACACAGTTACACAAATCTAACAGCAAATGACTGTACTCTACAGAATTCGATGGAATATCGTAAGCCGGTCTAAATGTTGAAAGAAACGGTTGAAGCAAACGGATACGAAGATTTACTTTGGAACATTGTGAGAAATGTATTGATATTTTTCAATGATATATTGAACCCCGAATACTCCACAGGTACCACAACCTGAAAAATGGTTCGTTGGAAAGCCAAGAATGTCAGCTTTTGAATGCTATCTCATCGCAAACCCTCGTGGGTGAGTGCCTTAAAAAGTTACTTAATTATTGATCGGAGTTCCGATTTAGTTAGCTATCGAATATCGAAAGCTTATCGATATTCGATAGCTAACTATTGGAAAGTCAAGAATATCGATAAGTATCAATAAAGGTTTTAAGGTGCTTAGTCATTAAATATTGCTATGTAAAATAGCAATCAAAAGCTGATATTCTTGACTTTCCAATGAAACAATTTTCTAGAAAAGTTGCTGTTCTAGAAGCGGAGATCTGAACGGTCTTAAAAACGAAAACGCCAAAAAGTCAACGATTATCTGGCCTAAAAAGACCTACAAAAGACCTAAAAAATACGGTAGCTATTGACTCTACTTACAAAAAATCTCGACAAATTGCTTTTTAACCTTGTCTTTGGCGGAATATGGCTTTGTACAAACAGGGTGACTTTAGAGCATTAAAAAGTGAAAAGCCGAATACACTAGAAGGCTTGTGTTTGCACCATCTTTACACTCAAAGTACGCGACAAAGAATGGAAAATTAAATTGAAATTTTTGAACTTTGATTGCCAAAAATTGGGAAAAAAGACTTCAAAAAATGAGGTCAATATTTTTTTCCGGTAGTTTTCGATGATTGCACAATAGGATGCATCTAATGCCAAATAATTGAACCTCTATCAATGAATACGGTGACGGAGTACTGTACTCAGACAGACAGACAGCCGACCGAGTACTCTACTGGGAAAGTGTAAACACTCGTCCTTCTGGTGGACTCGATTTTTTCGCATGAAAAGACTTCAAAAAATGAGGCCAATATTTTTCTCCCTTGTAGTTTTCGATGATTTCACAATAGGATGCATCTAATACCAAATAATAGAATCTCTATCAATGAATACGGTGACGGAGTACTGTACTCAGACAGACAGACAGCCGACCGAGTACTGTACTGGGAAAGTGTAAACACTCGTCCTTCTGGTGGACTCGATTTTTTCGCATGAAAAGACTTTAAAAAATGAGGCCAATATTTTTCTCCCTTGTAGTTTTCGATGATTTCACAATAGGATGCATCTAATACCAAATAATAGAATCTCTATCAATGAATAGACCAACAAAAAAGGTGTCCTCAAAACGATTTATTTCATATTCCGGGTTTCTTTTTTTTGTTTCAGTTCTGTTTACTTGGCGATTTGAAATGGATCCTCAAATTTTCGAGGGGAAAAACTGAATGAGAAACCCGAAAATTGGAGAAAAATCGGGGATTAGATTGGGGAATTGTTTGTCTTCGATTCGATCAATGGATGAATTAGAAGAAATGAAGAGTCGAGAATAAAAAAGACACTAGACGGTGACGGAGTACTGTACTCAGGCAGACAGACAGACAGACAGCCGACCGGTTACTTTACTCGGAAAGCGTAAACACTCGTCCTTCTGGTGGACTCGATTTTTTCGAATAAAGTTCCCTTGCCTTTCGATACGCGAATTCTAAACAAGTGTGAGAAAAAGGAAGAGTAGCAATGGGAAACAGACCAAGGGATTGATTCGAGAGAACTCACAGACCTCTGTGAGATCTCTGAGAGCACGAATCTTCAAAATGAACTTTGTTTGTCGAAATTAATCTATTATCATTCTATTTGGTACTCGAAAAGTGTAAACATATCATTTCTCCTATACCAAATTTTTGGAGCTCTTTTTTTGGAGCTCAAAAATGATTCAAAATTGAGGTTGACGTTTCAGGATAAAGCTCGAAGTGCAGATAAATGAAGACAATGAAGGGAAAAATATAGAAGAAATAGCATGTCTGTTTTTCAAGAATAACTGATCGTTGGGAGGACTCGAACCCAACGCAAAAGGTCGCATGAGTTCTGTATGAAAAACAACGAGAAAATATTAATACTGAAAAAGATTAAAGAATATAGAGAGACTCAGAGATGGAGGAAATGCTCGAAAAGAACGATATTTGTCATCCGATTTTGGCATTTCGCCGAGAGGTTTTCTCGCCTAAAATAAGAGCCAAGTCCCGCCTAAAAGAGGAGCGAAGTCTCGTCGAGGAGAGACTTTGCGGGAATTTGAGAGAAAAATGAGTAAAGAAATTGAGAAATTCCATAGCTTGAGAGAAAGATGCAGCACACAGAGGGATGCGAGAACGGCTGTACGTGGTAGAGATATCAAGCAAGGAGTTCGTAATTGGTGGCTAACGAGAGAGAGCAGACGGCGAAAGGGCTCCCCTTCACCCCCAGACATTGCCCCTTTTCGTCGTCTCATTTCCACACATTCTCCGCACGTCGACTCGGATCACTTTATCTCAAGGCTTCACCCGTTTTCTTTGTCGTATTTCCCCATACTTTGATCAATTCATCGATCGATTGACTACCTTCATCGTATTCCTCCAAAAACGGAGCACCCAATCCATCCGCGAGCACAATCCGAGCCGACTTGGATCGAGCAGAAATCGAAAGTGATGCTCGGCACGACACAACCACCAGCATTTGTTCCACCAACATCCATGTGGAATCCAGTGGGTTTCCTCGGTGGTACTCAACCATTACCCACTCTTCCACCACCACTCATTCACCCCCAACATCAACCATTACATATATTGACCTATATATTGACCCCCTTTTGCCCATCTCTAGCCGCAGATCTCAGATAAATAGAAAACTTAAATGAAGGGGAAATGAGACCGGAGAATGAATGCAAAAGGAGCTGGGAGGACATTCAGATAGGAGCGTCGCAGCCTCTCCCCTCGATCGATCCCCGGACCACCTCTCAGCCTTTTTTTTACCCCAAGGCCCACTCATACACCCCTCTTTCTTTCAGTTTTTAGTTTTTTTCTTCAAAACTTTCTTTTTTTCTTCAAAGCTAAACGCAAGAGGCCTCCATTTTGAATTCTAATTCCAGATTTTTCTGTCTAAGCTCATCTGACTCCATTTCAAAAAAATGAACCGAATTCTCGAATTCTCGACTGCTGTTAGCTTTTCATTAGACATTCTAGTCATATTTGGTTGATGGTTGACGTTCGTCAAAAATTTCCTCGAAAGATAAATTCTTAAAATAGTTTCTATTGGATGGAAAGGCTGCTTATCGGGATGGGCAATCGGTGGAAGGAAGGGGAAGGAAGGGGAAGGACCGGAAAGGCTGGGGAAGGAAGGGGAAGCGAGGGAAAGGGAAGGGAAAAGGAAGGGAGGGGGAAACAGTGAATGAATTAAAAGAGAATGAGAAAGGAAAACATTTTATTTTTCCCTTATTTGGTAATCTTTGGCTTAATCTGATGATCAATAACTGATCTGAACTGATCAATAACTTTATTTTTCTTTTCCCTCATGGAAATCGATTCTATTTCAAACAAAACAAAAAGAAACATTTAGAGTAAAAGAAAGAACCGAAGTTTTAGATTGTAAATCTAGGAAAATTGATGCCATTGGGTATTGTATAAATCATTTTGGTCAGTTAGTCAATCATAAGAGATTAGATAGATTGAAAGAGAAATGAAGTCATGAGTCAATGGAAATCTTTATGGAAATCTCTTTATGGAAATCAAATTTTAAGCATAAGCTTTATCTCATTTACAAAAGACTAAAAAATACTTTTTTTGACTAGTTTAGCTTCACTCAACTACTAATACATTAAAACTGATCAGCAGTGATTCTGTCAGTGATTCTGTCGATGATGGCCACAAGGAGTCGATCGGGGATTGGCAGGGACGGTGGGGGAGTGATCGGCGGACGGAGGAGACTCCGCTCCACTCCCACCAAACGATACACACCAAATGTTTCGCAGAGAAAGACAAAAGCTGTTTCAGCTTTAAAGAGAAAAGCTGTTTTACAAAGCGATCAGCTGTTTCACAAACTTTACCCTTTTATTTATGTCTATCCCCTTAATGAAATCCAAACTTTTACCAAATAATTGATCAAAAAGAGACATTATCTTTGAGTTTTGAGTTTTGATTGAGTTTTGATTAGTCAATGTGTTTTGTTGATTCATAAAATAATAGCACGATCTATTCTTCCCCAAAAATCGCCTTGTTTACGTCTAGTTTGTGTGGATCTCTCATCGAAAGAGAAGAGAATTTTTCGCGGGCTCTCCTATTCTCTATCACGCGTATCCAATTCTTTCTCCATTTTCTTTTCTCGTCTGCCCTCTGACCCCAATGTCAAGCCAAGTCTTTTGCTCCCTTTTCGTCAGCTGGCCGCAGCGTCGAAGATCTCTCTTCCTCTCAAAACTTGACCCCTGCCCCTCCCCCTTTTCACCCAACCACCCCAGCTCTAAGCTCAGACTCAAACAACTACCTCAACAGATTGAATTGTTTTCCTTTATAGAAAATGCTATTTGAAGTAGGTTTTCTTAGATTCAGGGCTGATCCTAAGCCATTGTCGAAAGCCTATAAGCCATTGTCGAAAGTTTGGTCCTAGAACCAGCCCTGCTTTGATACCTTAGATCTCATTTTTCTGTTATATCCCTGTAAATGTTTTTTTTCAAAAAAATGAACCCATCCTTTTCTCTAAGCCTTCAATTAGCTATTTATTGACCTGAGCTTTGTGGTGATTTGAATTGATTTTATTTGCAAATAAATCCCAGTACGATAACTTATGCCAAAGCGCATCATTTAGAAAACAATATAGGGAACACAAGCTCCTAATTGTTTCCTAAAACAAGTCTCCTTTCGAAAAGCTTATGTGTATCTCCATAAATGAAATCCAAACTTTTACCAAATCGCCTTGTTTACGTCTAGTTTGTGTGGATCTCTCATCGAAAGAGAAGGCAGCTGTTTTTCGCGGGCTCTCCTATTCTCTATCACGCGTACTTTCCAATTCTTTCTCCATTTTCTTTCTCCAATCTCTAGTTTATCTAGACTCTTGTTTAGTTAGAATTAGTTTAGAATCTTGCAAAATATAACAGAAAAGCCTCTCATATGATTTCAATATTTTCATAAAGCCGGGTCATTTAGTTACTGGATGAATATCTGATTGATGAGATCCTCTCGTTGGAAGACGAGCAGCGCACTCGGGGCAGCAAACCACACCAAACACCGGTAGGCAGATATTCTCTTTCTTCAATCTAAAAGCTCATGTTGTTTTGTGAAAAGTTGTGTTGAAAAGAGGTTGGCGAGGAGTGGTTATTACACATACTAAGATCAAACACAGAATTGTCCTGATTATAGATATATTTTGAGAGATAGACCACCATATTTTGTGAGATAGACCATATCTAAATATAGTTTCGATTTCTAATTATAGTTTTCCATTGGATTTCGATATCAAAAAGTAGCCCTGAATTTCAGCTGTTTTTTGATACAAAAGACGCATTTTTAGGTAGAGTAGTACATATAGCTGTAGCCGAACTGTAGACTGTACTTTAACGTCAAGTACTATTGCTGTAGCTGAACAGATAGAGTAGTAATACGGGAGATGAACTGTAAGCAAAATTATCATGAAATGAGGCTAGATTTTATTTGGGTAAAATAGATGAATGGGGATTTAGTTCCAAGATTCTATCTTCTTACTTATCTTACTGTAGCTGAGATGTTGATAAAGTGTCTTAAGTTGTCCTGAGACTAATAAGCTACTAATAAGCTTCGTTTGCTAAGCTAGAGCTAAAGTAATCTACAGTAATCTTACACTGTACTATAGTTAAGCTCTAGTTACAATGATTTCAGATCTGACTCTATGAGGCGAGAAAAGTTAGACGAATGTAAGCTTTGATACTGAGCGATTGATGCTATTTAGTAGCTAGAGTAACCCCAAGTACTATCGTTAATCTTACAGTACGGTGACTGAACTCCAGTTCTTAGATGCTACAGTAATCTAACGGTATTGTATCCATCAGATCGCGTTTTTAGTTTTCCTTTGCGTTCCACGAAAACCACTCGCTTTTCTAGCCAACACAGCTAACTGATTCAACGACTATGGCTGAATATTTACATATTTTATCCTCTCAATTTCCAGCTGACCGCCCCGTACTCTTGTGCAGACAATTTGACGAATCTCTCCTCGCAAGGAAGACCGATTCCCGGAAACAACTCTTCAGGTGAGGTGTTCAAGATTGATTTGTTTTTACGAATCAAGTAGGGCAATTGGGGAAGAGGTAAACAGGTAAACGAGACAAAACAATGACGTATCGGAAAAAGGTCAAGGGACCCAAAAAGAGGGGAAAGTTCGCTCAAACCGGCGCTGTTTTCATGATCTGAAATGTCTAGAGAAAGCATTGGTTTAGCTGCCAGCCAGACACTTCATACAATTAGCAATCCTTTTGTACTTTTGCATAAATCCAGGTTTGAATCGAGTAGAATGATTCTATGATCCAATTCCGACCGGGAGTGTCTGTCTCCTCTCTCGGGGATGAACTTTGTGTGGTGTATTGCCCCTTCTCTGCCCTTATTTATTTGTTGGGGGAAACCTGTTTATAAGAGAAAGTCATGTGATGGTCAGATATCGCTCGTTTCTCGTCACAATCAGCCTTCTTTGCCATTTCATTACCTTAGAACCTTTTGTTCTTCGTTTCTTTTCCCCCTAGTATTGGATGATTTTCAAACTTCAAATTTTTCAAGCCGATGTTAGACTGGAGTAAAGAAGGTTAGTAATGGATTAGGAATTGCTTATTATTGCTATCTATTTACTCATTATCATAAACAAATAACTTTTGACAATGAAAGACGAAAGACAAACGAAAGACAATGAAACCAAGGCAGGAGGTGGTCTGGTTGGCTGGCTTGGCTGGCTGGCTTGGCTGGCTGGCTTGGCTGGCTGGCTTGGCTTAGCTAATCAAATTTTTAAATCTTTTTAACTTTAACTAGTCTAAGAATCTAGAAAACGTTGATTTTCTTGAAATAATTTCATTGTTGAATGATCGCCTTCCCTTTTCAAGAAGTTGAGTCAATCAGCTGATCGAATCGAGTCCATCAAAAGAGAACGGATCGATCGAATCATTTTCTCTTTTTTTATCTCATAAAAGCTCTCTTTTCTTTTCTCTTTTCATTATCAGGAGATCTCAAATTTCACCTTTTTAAATACAAAAACCGGCACATCTTTCCGAAAAACGAAAAAAAAACGCCTCATGGCTATCCATGATTGGTAGGAAAGCTCATTTTCAAAAGGCTACTTGAAACAAAGTTTAAATAAAAAATAAAATAAAATTTGAACAAAATAAAATAAAATTTTCAAGACTACAACTGAATATCTTAATTTTTTAAAAAGGTTAAGCTAGAAGACAGCTAGAAGACAACTAGAAGACAACTTGAAGACAGCTAGAAGACAACTAGAAGACAACTAGATGACTCCTTTTTCTGTCTTGATTTTTCGCACGCAATTTTAAAAGATATTCAGCTAAAAACTTGTCTAATGCCAAGAGCAAAAGGGATTATGAATTTGAGTTGAAACTGTAAGAACTTAAAAAAACCATTTAGGTGGTTCAGGCCACTCAGGCTCACCCGTCGGAATGGGAATCCCGGGCGCGATGCAATTCCGCCACGTCGTCTCCTCGTCAGCTCCCTCCTCATCGGATATGGATCAATTGGTAAACTTTATGATATAATACTAAGCTGTGGATATAATAGGTCTCTGATATATAGGTATCTGATGGGTCTAAATGATTATTATTGTTTGCAGGTACGTGGCTCGTCGCAAGGACCCGTTCCCAGTGCCGATGATCCGGAACACTACGGCGATCGCAGAAAGAAGGACATTCACAATATGAGTGAGTTCATTTCATTCATAATTATCGATGAAATCAGAAGTTTTTTTCAGTTGAACGCCGTCGTCGCTATAATATCAACGACCGAATCAAAGAATTAGGAGTTATGCTGCCTAAAGGAGCTTCCGAGTGAGTTGAAATCTAATTTCAAGAAAATGCCACTAAATATTTACTTCCCGTTATCAGGCATTTTCTCTTTAGAGCCGAATTTAGAGAGATGAAGTTAAACCAAGGGACGATTCTCAAAGCATCTTGTGACTACATTCGACAATTGCAAAAGGATCGAGATGTAAGTGAAAAGAAAAAAACTTCTATGCAAAGAAGAGCTTTCAGAGCATGATTAAACAACAGCAACAACAAAACAAATTGGAAAACGCTGCGAAACAATACGCCGATCGAGTCAGAGTGAGTGAGGGAAATGGCTGGGCTTGGCTTGGCTTGGCTTGGCTTGGCTTGGCTTGGATTGGCTTCACCATTCAATTCAATGATTCTTCAGCTACAGTACTGGACAATGAAATATCATATTTGAAAAATGATCGTCACTTTCGCGCGTCTGTAACTCCCTTGTCTTTCAGTTTAAACTATTAGTGTTACACATTTTCTGAAAGCTCTTTTCAAGGGCTACACCATGATAATATTAATATTTAGAAATACGGTAAAGATAAGGGAGTTACAGACGCGCGAAAGTGACGATCTTTTTCTAAAACATGAGATTTCATTGTCGTGTGTAGTGTAGATACTCGTTGAACCATTCTACTAAGCGAGTAAATAAAGATAGATAAAAGATACGCATTCTATGCACTCAATTTTAGGAACTCGAGGAGATCTTGGCGAAGAATGGCCTCAACGCGCCTACCAAAGCGCTTCCTCCACTCCCAGCCATCCCCTCCGCTCCTCGACCAATCAAACAGGAGACCGAAGGGAGTCGAAATCAAACCCCATGCGGATCACTTGTAAGCGATCGCTCAACTCTTCTCTTGTCTCCCCTCGAAAAGACTCACAATCAATCGGCTCCCCGATTGGGTACTAAAAAATCAGCAATTCTTTTCGGAAACTAGTACTAGGACCCTAAATTTATGTTCTTTATTTTGCTCTCATTCTCTATTCTTTTAGTCCTCATCGGGTTTTATGTCACAACTCTCTGACACGACGGCTGCGATCGCCTCGCCGCTAGAACGGATCCATTATGGATCCGATCAATTCTTTCGCTCAAGTCCACAAGATTATCAGACGCCACAATGGAGGTGGAGAAGTTATAGATATATCAAACCAAACTTTGTCTAATTATATTCTATTGATTGTTTACAGTATTCAGATAAAGTTAGTGTCAAATAGAAGCAGAAAATGGTCGAATTTGGTTGCAAAGTAGAAGCTACAGTAGCTTATTGTAGAAGTAGAAGCAAAGTAGTAGAAGTAGAAGTAGAAGCAAAGTAGAAGCTACAGTAGCTTTTTGAAAAACAGTAGAAGATTACTGTATCAAATACTTGCCTTTTCTATTAGCTGGATACTGTAACAATCATTCAATAGCTTACAATTAGTTATTTAGTTTATAGTCAGTAAGTATTCAATATCTAGTTTCTAATAGTATTTCTCAATAGCTCTAACATTTGCAGATACCGCCCCAACAGCCACAAAGGGATGCACCACGGGCCATTCCCCGATTTGATCATGGAGTCGTGTCTTGAGGTAGAATTGAGATAATAGATAAAAAACAATATTAGAAGTTGTTTCCAGGGCACTTGGGGAGCATTTGTCAAGCTATTTAGAAGATTTCGGATATTTAGAGGATATCTAATATTTCAATTTTTCCTTCAAAGTCTCAATTCTACGATATTTAGCCCCTACGGGAACACCCAGCCGATGCACGCCAATCACAATATGGACTATTCATAAAGAACTCGCTATTCAGATATACAACAAACGACTTGTACATATGTGTATCCAGTTTCATTCAAATATTTGTAAACCATTTTCGTTTCTTTCTTCATATCGTTTCTATTTGATCACTGAAAAACCCCCCTTTGTAAATCCGGTGTGTTTCCCTTTTTTAAAGGTGAAACCCATTGAAATGTGTACAACTTGTGTCGAAGAAAATTTCGACAAAGTGAAGAAACGGGATATGGAATGGCTCAGCATTCAGTTTAAAAGACTCAGACTCACTCAGGGACCCGAACTCGGGTTGTTTTCCCACCGATTGAGCCATTTCTTCCCTTTCTCCCACCATTCTCTCTCGGGTCCACAATCAACAGGAACGATTTTATTTCTTTTTCATTTTTTTTTGTCATTATTTTGATTCATTTGATTGGTTCATTTGATTTGATTGGAACCTAGATCGATTGGAAAATCATCCTCACATCTATCATTGGATATATCAAATTTCCATACAAGTTAACAGATGTTTAATTGAAGCCTGGCTTAGCCTAGGATCCTAGGCTAACTCCATTGAAGCATTAGAGGCTAGTCTGGCTCCATTGAAGCATTGGAGTCTAGTCTAGCTCCAGCCTAGTCAGGCTCCAGTAGCCTAGTCTAGCTCCAGCAGCCTAGTCTGGCTCCAGCAGCCTAGCCTGGCTCCAGCCTAGTCTAGCTCCAGCAGCCTAGTCTAGCTCCAGCAGTCTGGCTCTCCCTCCAGCCTAGTCTACCGTAATCCTGATCTGTTTGACCTAAGCTGACCTAATCCATCCAATCACCAATCAATCTTCGTTATACTTATAATTTCGCTATCAACTACACATGATATGCTATTTGTGGCCTGTCCGTCGATTCCCAGTGTGTGTATTTCCGAAATTCCTTTTTTGTTAAATCCCCTTCGAATCAATTCATCATCATCAAAAGCAAGAACAACAAAACCATGTACATTCTATCCCGTGAATTTGCTGTTCTATTTCAAATTTCATTTTACTATTCGATTCGTAAATTATTCCTTTTATACAAAAATTTCTTCTCAGTTCAAAAAAAAAAGCTGAGAAATTTCTAATAAAATTTCTAATTTCATATGTTTCTTTTTCGAGTTTCTTTTCATTTTCTTTTCATTTTCTTTTAATTTTTTAATTTTTTTAATTTTTTTGGATTTTAAATGCAAGTTTTTTGTTTTGTTTACTATGTTTTATTTGTTTTATTCATCAAATGTGAGGGTGATTTGGGATTTCGACTTTACTCTTTCGAAAATTGCAAACGTACACCTTCTGGCACAGCGAATTCTTCATAGTTTTTTGTTCTATAAACTGCTCGTTTTCGCAAGAAGACTAGTTTTTCGCAAGAAAAAATGTATCTATTAAAATTGCTTTGTGTGAAAGAGACGATGAGGCCGGGCGGAGAGAAGTCTGCAATCATATTCATGCAATCATATTTCATTCGTTTGTATGTCCTTTCAGCCGGTCTAAACGTCCCAATTGATTCGCATTCACCCCCGTTCCCCAATTCTGAATTCTATATAGGCACTCGCTTGTCTCATCCCTTCCCTTCGCTCCTCTTCCCTTTCTTGCTTTTTCCTCATCTTCCCTCGTCTTCCCTCTCTTCGCTTCCCTTCCCTCCTTCCCCAATCCATTGATCCACGCGATTCTTTTCTTTGTTTCACAACACTGTATATAGACATGGCTTTTGTGAAATAAAACTTTCAATTTCTCAAAGATAACCGAATACACAGTTACACAAATCTAACAGCAAATGACTGTACTCTACAGAATTCGATGGAATATCGTAAGCCGGTCTAAATCTCCACGATTGAGAGAATGTGATCAGATCCAGCTGTGATATCATACCAGCTAGTCAAGCTTACAGTAATCTCGATGACTACGGTGGAAAATATTTGGCACTGCAAGGCAGTAACGTCGGTAACTTGGTTACGGATTACGATAGTGTCTATAGTTATGGTTACTGTAGCATCTACTGGCTGAGTCACTCTTTAGCAAAGTCGATAAAGCAGCTAAGTTTATTACAAGTTGACGATCGGAAAACGTTTTCAAGTTATAAATTAACAGTTATCATTTATATCAATGCTTATGTGAAAGACAAATTCAATTCTTTTTTCTGGAAACCCGCCAATTGCTAAAAATTTGTGGAAAAGAGAAAAAGAAGAGCAAAAGGAGAGAAAGGGGAAAAAGGAGAAAAAGGAGAAAAAAAGCTCACTTGATAATCATTGATTCTCGGAAAGCTTTTTATTTCACAGAAAAAGAAACGGTTGAAGCAAACAGATACGAAGATTTACTTTGGAACATTGTGAGAAATGTATTGATATTTTCCAATGATATATTGAACCCCGAATACTCCACAGGTACCGCGGTCCAAGTTTACACTCAAGCGAATCAATCTCAACACAACACTGTTTCTGGGCGCTTGAGTATCATCATCTTTTAATAATTTTTTCTAAGCGCTGGTTAATGCTTAAAAGATGTATTATATCTCAAAAAATACTTATTCTCTCTACTTTAATTTGATACCTAAGCGCATAGAAACACTCTGGAAGCTCTAGATAAGCTTTGAAAGCTCTAGAGGCTCTAGAGGTTCTAGTAGCTATAGAAGCTCTGGAAGCTCTAGAAAATAGAAACTATCAATCAGTAAGGTATTCTTGATTTTTTTTCCAATGATAGTAAGCAGAAGTCGATTGAACTCTTACATCGATTGAACTCTTACAGTGTCCTAAAACCAAAGCCTTTACCGAAATGCTTAAGCTTTGCGACAGTGTCCGAAAGCCGAAGCCTTACTAAATCAGTAAATTTAACTCAGTAAATCAAATAGCGGTTGCATTTATTAGAATCTACACAAAATTTGACTTTAGAAATCTTTTATTTTTTATAGACTTACCAATAAAAACCTAGATAAAATTAGTTCAACTCGCGCATGCGCAAGTTCTTCATAAAATCTTCGAAATTATGAACAACTTGCGCATGCGCGAGTTAAGGATTTTGATTATTTTATGACAACTTGCGCGCGCGAGTTGTTAAGGAGCTTTTAGTAAAAGAGAGTGATTTACTTCAGGCCTGAAAGTCTTACAGTAATCAAAGCTTTTCAGGCCCGAAAGCCGAAAGCGAGAACCCGGGGGCGGGTTTTTGGAGAATCAAAAACTGGGGGCTATTTCCTTGACTAATATCGTATGCGATTTTAGTCAAGGAAATCGGCTTGACTCTCCAAAAACCCACCCCCGGGTTTTCGGACACTCTTCAAAAACCCGCCCCCGGGTTTTCGGACACTCTTCAAAAACCCGCCCCCCCAGTTTTTGATTCTCCAAAAACCCGCCCCCGGGTTCTCGCTTTCGGCTTTCGGGCCTGAAAAGCTTTGATTACTGTTGGGGGCAAGATGATCTTGGGGGCAAGATCATCTTGGGGGCAAGATCATCTTGGGGGCAAGATCATCTTGGGGGCAAGATCATCTTGGGGGCAAGATGATCTTGGGGGCAAGATCATGGCATCTTGGGGCAAGATCTTGGGGGCAAGACTCGGGCATGCGCGAGTTGTTCATAATTTCGACGATTTTATAAAGATGTTGAGGATTTTGAGACATGAGACAAATGAGAAGAGTAGTCCAACTCAGACTCTCTACTCGCCCCTAGACAAATATCTAGGGAAGGGTAGGCACTTATCTCACTTTGACCTTAATTTTCTCCATAATTTTATTCGTAAGTCGATAAAACAAATTACACATTTCTTTACTGAAATTTAACGTAAATTCCAATGTTGGAAGCAGAAGTCAATTAAACTCTTACAGCTTGAGTCATAGGATTTTAAATGGATTGACCCTTTGAGATAAGTAGGTGAACTTTGACCGAAAATTTCTCTATCTTTTTATATTACAGTTTACTAAGCAGGTTATAGTTTTCTATAAGCGAATTTCATTAGCTACAGTGGGTACTGTGGTGAGACAAGCTGCAGTCTAACAAGTTCGAAGTGGTCAATTTCAAAATTTGCAACTTCAAAGTATTAAGCTCCTGAACAATCATATAAAAATCAAGTACATTTTTATGAAATGGAAACTTTGATGCCGATAAAATTGAAACTTGAACTCAAATTTTTGCTTTCTCCTGTTTCTTTAAAGACTGACAAGAGGAATGGGCTTTGTAATTGTAAATTGAATGCTGTCGGCTGAATACTTAAACCGGTATACTGTAGTGAGCTAATGTTCTACAGTGAAAAAAAGGCTGAGAGGTGGTCCGGGGATCGATCGAGGGGAGAGGCTGCGACGCTCCTATCTGAATGTCTTCCCAGCTCCTTTTGCATTCATTCTCCGGTCTCATTTCCCCCTTCATTTCAGTTTTCTATTTATCTGAGATGGGCAAAAAGGGGGTCAATATATAGCCCTTGTGGGTGATTTTGCCCTAAAAATGAGTTTAAACGATCAAATGGGTTTATTTTTTGAAAATCTCTTAAGTAAGGGAAACGATTTGGGGAATATGTGCATCCGATGATATTCAGAATATTTAAATTGGCTAGTCCAACATTAAGATATTTGAGCTCAAAGTTGGGGTGCAAAAGGGGATGAGTATCGAATAGAATGCACTTTAAAAGAACACGTCATGCACAAGGGTCTTGTAGCTTCAAGTTTAGCAAATTTCGAAGTGTAATATCTTTTTTCCAGTCAGGCGCATTTTTCAGTTGTCAGAATTTCTATTTTTACATGCAAGAAAAACTTTAATAGACAAAAATTTTAAAAAAACGAAAAACCTGCAACAAAGCTTGCGAATGCAAGGGTGCAATTAATTGCTGTGCCTCGGTATCATGAAAACTATTTTTCTTACTTTTCCTTTAGCATCATGTTGCACAAAGTTACAAAAGTGGAACAAAACCAAAGGCCATCCGGAAACTCAACTCGGCAAACTCTAGTTGTGACGTAGTAGTTGAGTGTGGAGAGCATTGCAAATGTGATCCCATAACTTGTCGTCAACGAGTGCTGCAGGTTGTTGTTTATGTAAATTAGCAATCAAAAAAATTCAGGAAGGGAGACAGATACCGTTGGTGCTATTTTGGGAAGGAAGGAAAGGCTGGGGTCTTCGCACAATTTTCAAAATTCCAAAGAATGTTTTTGTCGGTGAATACGTCGGAGAGGTTTGAAAAGCGCGCACAGTTTAAATTTATCAAGTTCCTTCAGGTGATCACTTTTGCGGAAGCCAAACGCCGAAACAAACACACAAAATACCAATTCAGTCTTGCGACGGCAATCACAAAGCTCGACAACAAATTCCTGGTGATCGACGCCACAAGCCTCGGAAATGAAACCAGGTTCATAAATCATTCGTGCAATCCAAATTTGGTAGCGAAACTTGTGATCACGAATAAATATTCCGAACACGATTTTCGGATCGGTTTCTACTCCATGCGTGATATTGAGCCGGGTAAGCGAATAATTTTTTACTTGATAGAGATGATTTTTAGGCGAGGAACTTACCCTTAACTACTATCCTACAAACGTTAAGCCAAAGAACTCAAAGAAAGGAAGGACCAAATGTTGGTGAGTGATGATTCCATTTTCTGGTTTACTGTTTTGAAAAATTTATAGGTGCGATGAAAAGAAGTGTCGTGGTTGGCTCCCTGCAGCAAGCGAATAAGACGATTAGCCCCGAATCGCAAGCACCTCATTGACATGTTAATTTATATTTTATGGGTTTATTGGGATAGTGTTTTAACCTTTTTCGAATAAAGATTTCGGCATCAAAATGAGCAAAACGCCGAGTACGATGGTGTCCCATTTTTTCGTTCTTTCGGTATTGCCAAACTCTTGGTCTTGCCTGCAAAAGATTGAAATTTAAAATGAACAAGGTACTACGCCTGTTGGGGGCACTTTTTTCCTCAAATCCACTCTTTCTGGAGTATTTTTCTTACAGCCTGCAGTGTTCACACCAAGACGCAAAGACGGCAGTTCTCATTTCACCAATCCAATAGATCTGTGTACTCGATGAGTAGGAATTTTTTGCGGAAAAACGTTCTCTAAAACAAACGCAGGATCATGCACCTTAGAGCCCCGAAATTTGGCTTGAAACGCCGTTTCCCCGCTCTCGTCCTGTTTTTCGGGATCTAGGCATAAAAATACTCCAGAAAGAGTGGATTTGAGGAAAAAGTGCCCCCCAACAGGCGTAGCACCTTGTTCATTTTAAATTTCAATCTTTTGCAGGCAAGACCAAGAGTTTGGCAATACCGAGTACATGAAACTGTACTTCCCATCAGTCTGCTATGTCACCGAAGCTGGCTCGATCGTTATAATCATCGTTTTCATTTTTTTATTCTGTCATTGATTTATTACTTTGGTTTTGTGAAAAATTTATTGAAATGACAAAAAAAACGAACAATTAAATAAAGGAGCAAATAAATATTGGTCAGCTAGTTACAAGTTACTGTACAACAGTACAATGTGAGCACTATGTATTTGTATCTCTTACTCATTATTTTTTTATTAGCTAGGGATATTAGCCAGGAATCAAATCGCATCGTTTCAATTTTACTTTTTTTCTTTTTTGCCTCTTGAAATGGCTCAAAATAAGCGCTTTTTAAAACACGTGAGAATCATTTTGTAAAAAAGATAGGGTTTTTCAATAGAAAAAATCGTTTGTGTTATGGTCGATTTACTGTTTCTAATTCACCGTTTGCTGTAGATGCATGTATCAAAATAGAACAGAAAATAACGGACAAAAATAGAAGATCACATCATAAAAGTCGGGAAAACTTAATTCAGCAAGCTGAAAACAAAAAAGAAAGGATTGTGATGAAATAAAAATAGAAAATTGTGTGAAATTTCATTATGTGTTACCATAAAAAGCCACTATTTAAGGATCCGAGCAATACGTTTCATCTAAAATCGTGTGATTTGCCAAAAAAATGCTCCTCACCGTGAACATTTTCCTACTTTTGCTCGCAATTTCTACGCAATCGGAAGTGACTTTTCAAGTGCGTTTCCTTAAGTTGCTTAAATTTTGAGATTTCCAGGTCGATTTGGTACCAATTTGTGCGAATGGCGCATATCCACCAAGTCCAGTAAGATAATCTTTGAGAAGAAAAATTGGAAGTTTGGGGTTTGGCTCTTTGGACCCTAGAGCAGAACAGTCATTCTAGAGCCGATTTTCCAGGCCAGCTCAAAGCCAAGTCAAATATTTTTGCTCAAATTCCTATAAATTCCAGACAAAACTTGGCCCAAAGTCACGGTTTTAGACAAAATTCTGTTCAAAGAAAGATCCAGATCCAAATAAGGCTAAATAAGAGCCACAGGCCAAGGCCAATTGAAAGCAATTGGTTTTGCGCTTGGCTTGGCTAGCCATGGCTTTTATCCAAATAAGGCTAAATATTGAGCCACAGGCCAAGGCCAATTGAAGCAATTGGCTTTGCGCTTGGCTTGGCTAGCCATGGCTTTTAGCTTTTGAAACAGCTCTGGTCCAGAGAAAATTCCAGTTCAAAGAAAGATCCAGTTCAAAGCAGAATCGATTGCTCATTTTACTCTCTAAAGCTTTAAACTTTTCATTTTCAGCCATACGTGTCTCTGCTCGAAGCTGATAATATAAGGGATGACCTTGAATACTCGACTTTCTGCCGTAGTGAGTCTTTCGAAACATTTTCTGCTTACAGATATTATTAAGTTGGAAAGAAAGTTCTCGGTAAAAGTTTTTTAAACCGAGCGGTTAAACATCAAAATAAAATCAAAACAAAAGAAAGGAATCGAAACCGATCCAAAGATTGATAGCTTGTTTTGGAAATAAGACTCTTATCCACGACACCAGTAGCTCATATTTCGAGACGGTGAACGAAGCCTTATATGGAACTGGCACGGCGAAAGAAGCCTTATATAGGGACTGATTTTTGACATTTAACCCCCTTTTTTGCCCTATTGATCTCAAACTTGTTTGCCAGATTCCTCGTGTTTCCGAATCATTTTGCAAAAACGATTAGCAGCATCGGAATTAGTGTAAAATTCTGCTTAGGTTGAGTTCGTAGAATAAGTTTACACGGTGATTTCTCAAAAACCAAGCCATGAATTCTTCCCAGATTTTTTTCATAAACTTGACTATATTCCAAAAAGTTTTTGACAAAAAAATCAGCGTGATCTTCAGGTAGAAAAGTGAGAGATTTCTTCGGCCGAAGTACTTGGTCACTTTTTGAGTGATCAGCTTCTAGACAAGTTTTAATGGGTTAATGGATAGGCAATGGAACCTAAAATCAAGTACTTAAAATCTTAAAAACTTTCTGCGGTTGTGAATCTTTTAAAAGAATTTCTGCTTACAGATATTAGCTTGGCCGAAAATTCTTTGGACACTTTGTCATAAATCTGTTTTTTAAATGAAAAGCCAATGAATTGATTAATAGTTTGCTTCAAATAGAAGATCTTTATTATACACTTTTCTATCTTTTCACGTCAATCTGGGCGCGCTTCCAAGAAAATCGGAACGCAAAAACTTGTTTTTGCTTTAAATTCGATAAAAAGTTATATAAAAAGAATTGGTTTAATCAATTCTTCTGAAAATTGGTTATACACCTAACTTTTTCTATTCAAAATTTGTTTATAAATGAAAAGTTCGCCAATTTGCCTACGGTTTGCTTTAAATAAAACCATAAATAGAAAATATTATACACTTTTCTATCTTTTTTTATGCCAATCTGGGCCCATTTCTAAGAGAATCCGAGCGCAAAAACTCGTTTTTGCTAAAATTTGATAAAAGGTGATATAAATTGGCTAAAAATAGGAATTGGCTGAACAGATTGTTCTGAAAATTTGGCTATAAATCTAACTTTTGCGCTCTTTTTTTCTATTGGCATCAAAATAGATTTCTTTGGACGAAAGTGTCTGAATCGCGCTATCGAGTCCTCGCTCTGGCCAAGTTCACACCTCAGAACAAAAAAACCAGAAACAAAACATTTCTTAAGATTTCAACAATATTTTATAGAAAAATATCAAGCCTTTCTTATGGAGCAAATCGTGAAGTAAAAAGTGAATTGTTTCTTTCTAAATAGCTTTTTAAATGGTGTCTAAAGACTTGTCGGCCAACTTAATACAATAAAGTCTGCAAAAATGAAGTACTGTCTCGAGAATATCAAAACGTTTCAGCGAGTTGCACTCTACTAACTCATGACGATTCCGACTGGAGCCCAAGCATGGAATTCTATCTCAGGGTCAACTACACATGCGGAGAATCGGTAAATGAGTTGAAAATTTTGGATCTATTTAAATTTGAGTTTAGAAATCCTAGTAATCGGCACAATCAGCAGAAAAAACAAATTTTATTTTCTTCTTTTAGGGAGAGCAAAGAGCGTGTTACTATTTTGTTTCGACTCCAAATGATCGCTCTTTCTACAGCAAAGTGAAACTGAGTTTGGGAGATCCGCTTGACCAGCAGTCTTCGAGCAATGTGTAAGTTCTGTTTTGGATTCTCAACCCAGACAGAAAAGCACTTGGATCAGATCAGATCTTATTAAATTCGGATCAAAAAGGACTCGGATCGGAATTGAATTGAATTGAAAGATGAATAAGACCGGATGAAATCCGAATTGAATAACTTCTGCTTTGTTCTGATTCAATTCATCTTATTTATAAACGTTTCTGGTGAAAATTTACATTTGATTGCTTGAGATTACGTGGAAAAATCCACAGCAACAAATGATTATTTGAAATTTTGCTAAAGAAATCAAGTTGAAGGCTCCTCATTGTTAGATAAAGAAAAACTGTCTACCACCCAGATTTTGGTACTCTATCAAATCTTTTTTCTTTTCAAAACCTTTTCTTTCAGCCAATTCGACACGGTCGATAAATGTGAACATTCGAACGGACGACGACGCATGAAGAAGCTTTAATTTTTTCTAATAAATTTATTGCACTGAGGTTAATATCACAGACAACTTTTTAATAACAATAGACGTAATTTCCGTAATTACGTACCGGATACTGGGGTGGTGAATTGAAAACTGCCGGACTTTGAAGTAGAATTTATTCAATAATATAATATAATTTAAATAATTAAGGTATAATTTAAATCTAAAAAGAATATCTAGCCTAAATATCTAATGTCTATGCTTTATATTCAAGACTTTATGACTAAAAATCTCTTCAGAAAACTGCTTTAAAGCTGCTTTATTATTATCGATAAATTCTTAATAACATCTGTGAAAGATTACCTTCGATCTACTGGAGTACACTTGGCCCCATTGTGACAATTGCAAATGGGCATGCACTCTCGCCCGTAACGGCCTGCGGGGAAAACTAAAGAGAAATTGTTGAATTATGACAATAACAGATTTTCAAAAAGCACCCAAGTCAAGTCGTTTCGTTCCTGTTTGTTTTCATAGCAAGCATAAGCAATCTTCTAACTCTTGTAGGCTGATTTAAATTAAACCAGACGCAGACCAGGATATCAGAAGCGTTCTTAATAAATTCTTGATTCTTATATACTAGTAAATCTCGTCACAAAGGCTCTCCCGGAAACAAACTGTAAGCAGCTAGCTGGTAGTGGTAGACATAAAGATAGATAAAGGATATGATTTGTTTGTTAAATCATATTTCTTCTCACCTGATCGCGTTGATGTATCATTGCTAGACCGAGATTTGTGGTTCCATTCTTTGTGTTCGCTCGTTAATTTCTCTTCTTGGACCAATTTCATTGAATCTTGACCTTAATAGCGTAAGCTTGGTCAATCTGACAAAATTCGACTAACGTTTAAAAATACTTTGAATTTTTAATTCAATTTTAGATCAATTCAATTAAGGACTCAAAGAAGAAATGGGAATATTCCTTGCGTGCAAGGAATGTTCCCATTCATCCTTTGATTTCTTAAGGATGAATGGGAACATTCCTGGCACGAATGGAAAATGGGAAATTGAGCAATTTTGAAAAATAGGTAAAGAGAGCAGATTTTGAAAGTGACAAATGAAGAGAATGAATGATCTTTTCTTTGATATCGCTACCGATTGATACATTATTTGACATCTGCTTGCCCAGGGGGGAGGAGACGAGGCTATTTCTGCCAAAGGCTCTGCCAATAGTTCACAATAATTGAATGGAAATTGGAAATTGAGCAATTTTGAATTATTGATTGGGTTTGTTGGCAGAAAAAATATGTGCGACCAAATGTTGACCTCGTCAAGCATACGGCGATTACATTAAGATTACATTAAGAAAAGACGCTTCCGAGTAAGGCCCTTCAGTAAATCATGTATTTCTATATCTTTCTATCTTTCTATCTTTAGTTGTTCACTGTGAACCACAAAGGCGCCTGGTTGTCAACTGTGAACTAATGGCGCATAGGTGTCCACTGTGAACAATAATAACGCCTAGATGTCAACTGTGAAAAGCAAAGGCGCCTAGTTGTCAACTATGAGCAAGCAAGCAAGATGAACGACAATCGCCCCTAGAAGTCAACTGTGAACAAATGGCGCCCAGTCCCTGTAAACAACAATTTCGCCAAGATTTCAACTGTGAACCAGACTCGCCCTATTTTCCATATCTTTCTAATCGAATTTCGAATAGAAAGATATGGAAGGATTTTAATTCGATTTTCTATCTTTCTACCTTTCCATCCCTTTCCAATCGATTCCGTATCTTTCTAAGTGTCGAAAAATTGCTTGTTGTTTTATCTTAAAACTCCAGCTTTCCATAAATCCGACCGCTTTTAAAAACTTTAAACTTTAAGCCCCTTTAAAGCTCCTTTATAGTCCCTATTTAGCTCCTGTAAAGCTTCTCTAAAGCTCCTATAAATCTACTTCAAAGCTCCTTTCTAGAGCCTCCTAGTTAGAACTGTGAACAAAAAGCGCGGCTAAAACTTTTAAAATGCAAGACACGAGTATTCCAGGCTTAGCATGAATAACTATGCAAAAGATCGCGATCTTATGCTACTTTTCTGAACCTTAGAAAATTTGAGATAATTCTCATTATTTTGATCCATTTCTCCAGATCTCATAACTAATTATGAACACAAGTTTTTTGAATGTAAATAGCGCAGAGCTTTTACCTGAAAGAGCCTGCAAAACCGGAGACCTAAAACCGGAGATCTTTAGGATTTAATGTAAACTGGGAGTGTTGCGTGTCTAGCTGATCCTAATGGTGGATACTACGACTTTCTGCAACCGAAAATCAGAATATCTTTTCGGTGCTATGCACAAGCATTGTGTCTTTTGTTATAAACTGAATTGAAAGGTTTTCTGGACAAAAGATAAAACTGCAATCAAATTTTGGGTGCCCAGTGCTCAACTCATTCTTCACGCACATCAAGAACATCACTGTAGATTGGTCTCTGGACCAACAATTGGTCCAATATTTGGCTTATCAAGAGAATCGCCAAGAAGGGTAATTATAAAATTACAAATTGAACTCAGTGAAGTAATCAATCAATTATTAATCTTAAAAGTCCAAGGTTTGTTTCTTCAAAAAATTTAAGAAAATCCAATGAAGAATGAAGAAAGTTGATGACTCAAAAGCAGAAGATTGCAAAGGGAGCGTGACATTTTTCATCGAATTCATTTTATTTGGCAGCGGCTTAGCAAATGACAGTTTTTGTCTCTTTATTGAGCCACTCGCAAGTTTCGGAGTGATCGGAGTCGCCCTCGCTGAAAATGAAGGGAATTTTTAGGCCACTAGAAAATAACTGTATCCAAGGCTGGACGAGTCGCTCATGATTCCCACTTGGTACCAAAGCTGACCGAATTTTGCTACAAGCGGGCCACCGGAATCTCCCTAAAAGCAATGTTGAAAGCTCAAAGGATATTTGCCTTAGTCGTGGCTTTTCCGCGACCGCAGAAGGTGTCTTGTTCATCAAGACATTCGGCACGTAAAATGGCTTCTTGAACTTTGGCTTTTTCTCCTGAACTAAATATTAGATGCGAATGAAAGAGTTTCTTAGGGTCAATGATTAACATCTCTAAAATTCTCCTTAATGCTTTGCATCGCTAGACAACTTTTGAATTTTACCGTCTCCCATTCCAAAAGCGAGCATCGGCTCTTTCAGTGTCAAGCCCTGGCTTCGAGGCATACTCGCTTTCCAAGATCATCACTGGTGTCAATATCCGTTTCCAGCTAGATAACATAAGGTTTTTCACTACTAATATCTAAGGTCCACCTCTAAGAGAGCGACGTCACCGTGATCCCAAACACGAGCAGTCTGGCTTTGAGCTTGTACCTGATTACTTGTTTACTGGCTGAGACATTGTCATACCTCAAATTTATTGCCTGGCCTGAACCTGTAGCTCAAATAGTAATACCATCGGACATTTTTTCGGACGCAGCTTGCCGCCGTCAGAACCCATTTTGGGGCAATATAGGATCCGCCGCAATTGGTCTTCAGATTAGTTGTCGTACCGGACATATTGGGTTGGTGAATTGAAAACTGCCGGACTTTGAACTAGAATTTATTCAACCTAAAACCATGAATTCATTCGAAATAATTTCCATTCGGCTTCTGCCCATTTCACAGGCAGTTTGCGGATTCCTCTTGCGTAGTAGGATTTTGGCTTCTGTGTGAGAGAAGTGTGAGACTCAGAAATGTAGGACTGGAGATGTCTGATGTCCAGTTTTCACACTTTCTTCAAAAGAAACCCATTTTTCCGGTCAATAGAAAAGTTGTAGAGAATCAAAAATTAGGCTTATTGCCAAATTTCCAAAAAGATACACTTAGTAGTTTCGTTTAAAATGGAAGTTTTGTGAAAATTCGTAAATTTGGCATTTCTTGAAAACCAGTTTTTGAATCATTCTGAAAATCTGGATTTAAGCCTAATTTTTGATTCCCCTACACCTTTCCATTGACACCAAAATGGGTTTCTTTTGAAGAAAGTACTCAAATGCCACATATGACAATAGCCGGCAGTTTTCATTTCACCCAATAGATCTGTGTACTCTATTAGTAGGAATTCGCGTGAATTGAATATTCGCGTGAATAAAGTATTATTATTATAAACTTTCCAAAAAGTGTTGAAAAGTCACTGGAATCAAAACAACTTTTCAATAACAATAAAAACTTTTCAAAATTGGACTTTCAATTGAATAGAGTCAAAAATCGAGTAAAACCAGATGACCCGTTCGGGTTTTTCCAAATTCTTTCCGAAGTGAACACACGATTTTCAGCGGTTCAATGCAGCGGTTCATCTTGGCAACTAAATTACCGGTTTTTTGGGGTAAAAATTTCCACGATATCCACGATTTTCACGTTCTAACAAAAGTTCATTTCCTTTTGATGTCAAACGGATTATTTTGGTGCAGATGTGCCAGAAAGCTTGCGTTTAAGCTTTAAAGAACATTGCTTGGATAGCTTGAAGCTGAAAGGATAGCTGAAAAACATTAAAATCGTTCGAATTCAAATGAAACAATGAAACACATTAAAATTGACATTTTTGACGTAAAAGACATTCCCATCGATGTCTTTTCAATGCAACAAGCGTGCTTGCGAGCTTCGACCAGTCGCATCTCGACCCCGAGGAACGTGGCCAAGAATGATGGAAAGAATTTGCAATCAGGAGGGGGGGGGGGGGGTGGGTCCCAGAAATTTGGGGAAAATTTCAATGATCGCCACCCAACCTCAGAAAAACAAAATCCAAAAACAAGGAGCGTGCTAATTTAATAAGAAAAGGGCTTTTTTAAATATTTTCCATTTTCAAATAAAAATATTATCCCACTCCATTTAAATTTTCAATTAAAAAAAACCCCAAAAAAAAAAATTTTTTTTTTTTAGATAAAAAATTTTATTTTTTTTATTATTTTAATTATAAAAAATAACAAAATAAAAAAAAATTAGAAAAAATAAAAAAAAAAAAAAAAAAAAAAAAAAAAAAAAAATAAACATATTTTATTAAAAAAATTCTATTTCGCCTATCCCCCGTTTTTATTATAGAGGGGAAATGGTTTAAAAAAAAAAAAAAAGCAGGAAAAAAAGAAAAAAGAAAAAAAAGCAAGGAGGAAGAAGAAGGGGGTGAAGAGTGGTATAGTTTAATATAATATAAGTCCACTTCGAGATAGAGATCTATGACCACTCATTTCAGAATCGGTTTGGCCTTGGCTTTTTCGAAAAATGGCTTTTCGTTAGTTTTCGGTGCGAATTTATATCATTTATAAATAAATCATTTATAGATAAATCATTTATATAAATACTTTATTCAGAAAGAAATAAAACGCATTAATAAAATATATTATATTAGATAATTTGCATATTAATTTGTCGTCTTTATTTCTCTAACTTTAATCGAACGAAAAATGAACCTGAGCTTGAACAAAACCCGAACAATCCCCAGGTCTTTCATTTGTTTTCCTCCAATCCTCCATCCAATACAATGGGAATTTCAAAGTCTAGACTCAAACTTTAATCTGTGACAATGTAATAATCTCTTCCTTTTTCTCATTAGAAAGCTGAAGAATGACAAAGATTGGCTGGAGTCGAACTTCTCCAGGGAATAGAATTCAATGATCTGGATACCAATGAAAGCATTCTTTGGTGAATGATAATGTTTTAAATTTGGTTGACTGTTGTTGTAGCAAAATAGTCAAATAAATTGGCGTAAAACGTCTAATATAGCTAATGTACGTCGATTTTTCAAATACCATCGAGTACCAAGATAATCACCGGATTTCTTTTGTTTTACAAAAGAAATCCGGTATTATCTTGCAGCCATTAACGATGCCTAAAGAATTAATGGGGGAGAAAGCCCCTTATTGACTATCAATGAGCCGATAAAATGAAGGAATTGGCAAGGAAAAGTTGTTAAAAATCTTCCTTTTCGCAAAGGCATCCGAGACTCGAGAAGAAGCACATTCAGACTCTCGAAAAGGCACCAAAATCCACCATCAAGTTTGGGATTATTTTTTGGCATGACTAAGCACTCCTATTAGGGTGGTGCAAAAGAAACTGCCCGATGGGTATCAGCTCTCATTTATCAGAAACGAGCGATGCTAACGGCATTATTTTTTATGTTTTGTTCGCATATTTTTTTAGCAAATCTTAAAATATCTCTTATACAAACTCTATAAGAGCTTATACAGATAAAATAAACTCTCTTACACAAATTGCTTTTTAAATTTGCTTTAAATTTTAAATTAAAATTGCTCTAAAAACCTTGGATTTTACCTTGTAAAAAGAATAAAGTCAGAATCTACTGGTTTTCCATTGGATTTTTTTTGCGATTACTAAGCTAATTAAAAATTCGATTTTTAATTAATTTCAATTGTTTTTTTGACGTCAGTAATGGAAAGTATAGAAAAAGACAGGTGTCATTTTAAAGCAAAATGTCTGGAATGACTTGTGATAGAAAAAGGAAAGCTTTCTAATGAGAAAAAGGAAGAGATTATTACATTGTCACAGATTAAAGTTTGAGTCTAGACTTTGAAATTCCCATTGTATTGGATGGAGGATTGGAGGAAAACAAATGAAAGACCTGGGGATTGTTCGGGTTTTGTTCAAGCTCAGGTTCATTTTTCGTTCGATTAAAGTTAGAGAAATAAAGACGACAAATTAATATGCAAATTATCTAATATAATATATTTTATTAATGCGTTTTATTTCTTTCTGAATAAAGTATTTATATAAATGATTTATCTATAAATGATTTATTTATAAATGATATAAATTCGCACCGAAAACTAACGAAAAGCCATTTTTCGAAAAAGCCAAGGCCAAACCGATTCTGAAATGAGTGGTCATAGATCTCTATCTCGAAGTGGACTTATATTCTAAATGTCAACTCTTTACAACCTTATCCTTTTCTTCTAGCTTTTGTTCTTAATGCTTGTTCTTAAACCTGTTTCTGTAGTTTTTTCAAAACTTTTCCTCTGATTCTATAAGAAGGACTGCAAAAGTCATTGATTATCTTTAAAGATTTAGATCATCTTTTTTGCATTTTGCTTTTTTTGACCTAGAGCTCCTTTTTACAAATTTTAGTTAAGTGTGTGTTTTTAAAAACTACCATAATAAACATTTGATTCTTTTCATCGAAAAAATCAAATATTTTCCGAGCTGGTTTTTCTCAAATGGTAAATGTCAAATGGCTAGCATTTCATTGATAAATGGAAAAAAGATCCTTTAAAGATCAGCCCTTTCCTTATTCAACAAGCACGCACCACTTGTTGTCCGATTCCTCCAGACTTGAGGTCGTTGTCCCACTTCGCAAAACATACCAATTTCTTTCTTGGCTCTTCCTCCTGATTGCAAATTCTTTCCATCATTCTTGGCCACGTTCCTCGGGGTCGAGATGCGACTGGTCGAAGCTCGCAAGCACGCTTCGTTGCATTGAAAAGACATCGATGGGAATGTCTTTTACGTCAAAAATGTCAATTTTAATGTGTTTCATTGTTTCATTTGAATTCGAACGATTTTAATGTTTTTCAGCTATCCTTTCAGCTTCAAGCTATCCAAGCAATGTTCTTTAAAGCTTAAACGCAAGCTTTCTGGCACATCTGCACCAAAATAATTCGTTTGACATCAAAAGGAAATGAACTTTTGTTAGAACGTGAAAATCGTGGATATCGTGGAAATTTTTACCCCAAAAAACCGGTAATTTAGTTGCCAAGATGAACCGCTGCATTGAACCGCTGAAAATCGTGTGTTCACTTCGGAAAGAATTTGGAAAAACCCGAACGGGTCATCTGGTTTTACTCGATTTTTGACTCTATTCAATTGAAAGTCCAATTTTGAAAAGTTTTTATTGTTATTGAAAAGTTGTTTGATTCCAGTGACTTTTCAACACTTTTTGGAAAGTTTAATAATAATAATACTTTATTCACGCGAATATTCAATTCACGCGAATTCCTACTAATAGAGTACACAGATCTATTGGGTGAAATGAAAACTGCCGGCTATTGTCATATGTGGCAATTTGAGCACTTTCTTCAAAAGAAACCCATTTTGGTGTCAATGGAAAAGGTGTAGGGAATCAAAAATTAGGCTTAAATCCAGATTTTCAGAATGATTCAAAAACTGGTTTTCAAGAAATGCCAAATTTACGAATTTTCACAAAACTTCCATTTTAAACGAAACTACTAAGTGTATCTTTTTGGAAATTTGGCAATAAGCCTAATTTTTGATTCTCTACAACTTTTCTATTGACCGGAAAAATGGGTTTCTTTTGAAGAAAGTGTGAAAACTGGACATCAGACATCTCCAGTCCTACATTTCTGAGTCTCACACTTCTCTCACACAGAAGCCAAAATCCTACTACGCAAGAGGAATCCGCAAACTGCCTGTGAAATGGGCAGAAGCCGAATGGAAATTATTTCGAATGAATTCATGGTTTTAGGTTGAATAAATTCTAGTTCAAAGTCCGGCAGTTTTCAATTCACCAACCCAATATGTCCGGTACGACAACTAATCTGAAGACCAATTGCGGCGGATCCTATATTGCCCCAAAATGGGTTCTGACGGCGGCAAGCTGCGTCCGAAAAAATGTCCGATGGTATTACTATTTGAGCTACAGGTTCAGGCCAGGCAATAAATTTGAGGTATGACAATGTCTCAGCCAGTAAACAAGTAATCAGGTACAAGCTCAAAGCCAGACTGCTCGTGTTTGGGATCACGGTGACGTCGCTCTCTTAGAGGTGGACCTTAGATATTAGTAGTGAAAAACCTTATGTTATCTAGCTGGAAACGGATATTGACACCAGTGATGATCTTGGAAAGCGAGTATGCCTCGAAGCCAGGGGCTTGACACTGAAAGAGCCGATGCTCGCTTTTGGAATGGGAGACGGTAAAATTCAAAAGTTGTCTAGCGATGCAAAGCATTAAGGAGAATTTTAGAGATGTTAATCATTGACCCTAAGAAACTCTTTCATTCGCATCTAATATTTAGTTCAGGAGAAAAAGCCAAAGTTCAAGAAGCCATTTTACGTGCCGAATGTCTTGATGAACAAGACACCTTCTGCGGTCGCGGAAAAGCCACGACTAAGGCAAATATCCTTTGAGCTTTCAACATTGCTTTTAGGGAGATTCCGGTGGCCCGCTTGTAGCAAAATTCGGTCAGCTTTGGTACCAAGTGGGAATCATGAGCGACTCGTCCAGCCTTGGATACAGTTATTTTCTAGTGGCCTAAAAATTCCCTTCATTTTCAGCGAGGGCGACTCCGATCACTCCGAAACTTTGCGAGTGGCTCAATAAAGAGACAAAAACCGTCATTTGCTAAGCCGCTGCCAAATAAAATGAATTCGATGAAAAAATGTCACGCTCCCTTTGCAATCTTCTGCTTTTGAGTCATCAACTTTCTTCATTCTTCATTGGATTTTCTTAAATTTTTTGAAGAAACAAACCTTGGACTTTTAAGATTAATAATTGATTATGATCAAAAAACCTTTAATAAGCATGATTCAGAAAATCTGTATGTGAAGAATGAAGGGACCCATTGCAAATAGCGAGAATTATAATGGCAGGGGATTGTCAGAGACATCCTAGTTTTGCTCAGTTTGTCTAGGTTTCTGAGTGGATAAGAACTTTACCTATTTTTCAAAGTTGCTCAATTTCCCATTTTCCATTCAATTTTCCATTCGTGCAAGGAATGTTCCCGTTCATCCTTTGAGTTCTTAACGGAGCTTCCAGCATCAAGATCTAAAATTGAATGAATTAGGGATGTGGCATTCATAAAAATGTAATCGCCGTAAAAATGTAATCGCCGAGGTCAACATTTGGTCGCACGTATTTTTGACAGTTCGAGTCTAAAGGTCACTAAAGTTTTTAGGCATGTCACTAAGTCGGGCAATTCAACCGAAAACTGTTTTAGTCAATTTTGAGCTCAAATTCATTCAAGAATCGTTGTTTGGAATTTTCGAAAGAAGCCAATAGAGTTTTAAGGCCTAAAGCCTTAGAAAAGCCTAAGCCCTAGCCAATAAGAACGCTCTAAACGCGAGGGAAACTAAAGCAATGATGGCCTAAGGGTTTGGGCATTAGATCCTTACAATTGGTTTGAGTCCCGCCACCCTCAAACCTTTTGCAACAAACAACAAAATAATATTTATCTGTTTTGTTGCAAAACAGACAAACTTTAAGGTTATAAACTGAACTGAAAAGATATTTGGAATATGTTGGATGATGTGAAAAGATATCCAACTGGTATTTGAAATTCGAGCTTTTTCTGAAACGATATTTCATATTTGCAATCAAGGCTTTCTTTTTCTTTTTCTTTCACCCTCATTTTGCATTCCTATTCCTCATCCCCTTGTCAGATTTGTAGCTTTCTTGAAACTTGAAACTTGCGTGCAAGGAATGTTCCCATTCATCCTTTATTGCTTCTAGGCTTCTAGCGCTTCATGGCGGATGTGGTTGTGATCAATATCAGCCGGCTGTTGGAGTTCCTAAACTTTATGCTAAGCCAAAACATTGGTGCAATTGAGAAAATGTAAAGAATACCAAATTTTCCATAGGTGAAGATTTTCTTTTTTGAGCTTGAACCTTGGATGGCTTTGATAATTTTTTGTTTAGTATATCACCAAAAATCGCCACTCTGAGGATGCTGTGAAAACTTTAAAGAATATTCGTCCGATCTATCTTGGCCGCAACAAAGCTTGCGAATGCAAGGGTGCAATTAAGTATCATGAAAACTATTTTTCTTACTTTTCCTTTAGCATCATGTTGCACAAAGTTACAAAAGTGGAACAAAACCAAAGGCCCTCCGGAAACTCAATTTTAACAACTTTTCCTTGCCAATTCCTTCATCTTATCGGCTCATTGATAGTCAATAAAGCTAAGATAAACTTGATCAAACTTAATACAACTCTGGCTGTTAATCGGTTGATAATCAAAGTTCATCTACACTTTATTCATCTCCAATTTCTAGGCGCTGAGGTCCCGAGATTCCATGTGATTCGCTCTACAGATGCCCATCAACCGAGCAAATCCCGTCACATCAGTATTCACGGAAAACCCCGACGATGTGCTCCAATTGACAGCCAGTTCTAAACCGAATTCAAACAAAATCCTTCACATTTCCAACTTGTTTCCTTAAAATCATCAATCAAATGGTCTCCTTGTTAAGCTTACTCACTTTCAAGCCTAATTCTTGAGTCCAACATCATTCATTTCAATCTGTGTCTTCTCATCTTGTTCCAATTTGCCTTAGACAAAGTGCTTACAAAGTCCCACTCCTCGTCTAGTCCAATTTTACAATCCACTTTAATCAAATTGTTATTTTCTTCTAGAACATTGTCAATTTTACTTGATATTCAAAATATCTCATCTTTGTTTTAAAATTTCTCTAAAGAATCCACAGCCTGTGCGGGTTTTTTATACTTTTCCGTTTTCCACTAAAAGAAAAGTGATGTTTTTGGGATCGTTGGTGTTTTGAAATAAAAAATTAAAAGAAAATCGCTGACAGGACCAGCAACAAGTGCAGAATGATAAGGAAAAATTCTTCTTTGCAACTAAAACAAATTTGATTAAGCCAAGAAGCGTTTACGAGTTTTGTAAAACAAAAGAAATCCGGTGATTATCTTGGTACTCGATGGTATTTGAAAAATCGACGTACATTAGCTATATTAGAAGTTTTACGCGAATTTATTTGACTATTTTGCTACAAAAACAGTCAATCAAATTTAAAACATTATCATTCACCAAAGACTGCTTTCATTGGTATCCAGATCATTGAATTCTATTCCCTGGAGAAGTTCGACTCCATCCAATCTTTGTCAACCTCCGCATAAACTTACTTTTATCCATTCTTCAGCTGCGTAGCTTGTACTTGTACTTCTTCTTGTACTAGAGTCTTCTCTCACTAATTTCTTTTCTAGAGGTCCTCTTTTTTTGAAGATTAATGTCCATTTTTCCTAGCCCATTCGTTTTAAAAAAGCTCTAAAAGCTAATATTAACCAATTTCTATTCCAAAAGTTGTTTTTCTAGGTAATTTGAGGGTCTCGAATTCAAATTTTGACATAACCAGCGTGTAAAACCAATTTGAAAGACAAAACGGCTAAGTCAAATTACAGAAAATTGTTGATTTTTTCTTTGCATATAACTCTGTCCGTTCGCTTCCACAAGCTCTGATGTGCCAAAATTTTGATTCGACCCCTCTACACGAATGTACAGACACCTTTTTGCAGCTTTTGTAGCTTTTTGCAGCTTAGGCTTAGGCTTAGGTGATTAGATTTGATGATTAGATGATTAAAATTGATTCGACGGGTCTACGATAGATAAAAATCGCTCTGAAAAGTACACAAATTTTCACTTCTGATTAAGGCCAGTAATTGGCAAATAATTAACATAAATTGCTTGTAATTACACTCTTTACTAAGCAAAATTTGATTTGATATTAAGCTATCGTATTGGCCAATTGATCGGTCACTTGAGTGGTCACTTGATTGATCGTATTGATCAAATGTTGTACTTGAACGCCAGAAGCTTTTTGCTTGTTTTTGAATGTCACCAACCAAAAACTAAAGCTTGATCTGAGGCCAAATTGCATTAAAAGCTGCTCAAGAACTCTTTTTTAGTCTTTTAGAAGTCCTAGAGCAAAAGTAAAGCAAAAGCAAAAGTTAAAGTTAAAGCCAAAGTAGTTCAATTTTCCTTCTGCAGTAATCTTTGCCACTTTTCCCGAATCTCACGAATGCTACAACAACAGTCTCTTCGAGATTCGAGATGTAAACCTTTTTTGCGGCTTATTCAGCAAAGATCTCTTCTACACCAAAAGGTGTAGAAGACGAGAAATTTTCAGCAAAGATCTCTTCTACACCATTTGTGTAGTAGAGATCTTTTTCAAGATTTCTTTCACTTTCTTCCCAGGACTCTGGGTACCCAAGACTCGGAGTACCCAAGACTTGTAATGGTGTAATGGTGTAGAAGACGAGAAATCTTGAGCAATGATCACTACTACACTAAATGGTGTAGAAGGCGAGAAATTTTCAGCAAAGATCTCTTCTACACCAAATGGTGTAGAAGACGAGAAATTTTCAGCAAAGATCTCTTCTTCACCAAATGGTGTAGAAGGCGAGAAATTTTCAGGAAAGATCTCTTCTACACCATTTGTGTAGTAGAGATCTTTTTCAAGATTTCTTTCACTTCTTCACCAAAATTGGGTACCCAAGACTCTGGGTACCAAGGACTTACTATTAAGGGAATCCTTAAGTATTCACAGAAAAATGTTACCTCAAACAAATGTTGCAACTACGTGGTATTATGTAGTGGTACCACATGTATTATATAGTAGTACCACTATGTGGAACCACATGCGTGGGAGTGGTACCACTATGTGGAACCACATGGGTGGGAGTGGTACCACATAGTGGTACCACATGCGTGGGAGTGGTACCACTATGTGGTACCACTCCCACGCAGGTAAAAATGTTACCCCAATCTATCCGCATCGGATAAGTGATCACAAATGGACGGAATCCATCAGCACTTATCCGTCCGAATAAGTGCTGATAAATTAGATCTATTTATCAGCACTTATCCGTCCGGATAGGTGCTGATGGATTCCGTCATTTGTGATCACTTATCCGGACGGATCTGTGCGGATAGATTCCGTCCATTTGTCAGCACTTATCCGGACGGATAAGTGCTGATAGATTAGGTCTATTTATCAGTAACCTCTAAGGTTGCTTAGTAAACTGTAATATAAAAAGATAGAGAAATTTTCGGTCAGAGTTGACCTACTTACTTCGGTCAAAGATTCCCCTTTCTCTTCTCAAATCTCAAGTCTATCCATGTTTTGATCTTCTCAGTCTTTCTTTCTCTCTTCTTTCTTTCTTTCTTGCTTTCTTCTTTCTTTCTTTCTTTCTTTCATTTTCCTATTGTATCAGCTCTAGACACTCTGTGCCAAAAGTAAACGTTTTCCATGGCTTTCCGATTAAAATTTTTGTTCTGTCCTTTTTCAGAGATATTATTTCTCAAAATAACTTATCTATTTTTAAATCTAGATAAGAACTTAGGGGAGATTCTCATACCGTAAATACTGTAATAGTACCCCTTCAAGTTCATCAAAAAATCTGGAAAGAAACTGGTTTGAGCCGTGAGTCTACAAATGTCATTAGATTTATATCATTTCTAAAGAAGAATAATAACTTGTAACTAACATTAACTAGTAATAACTAACATTTATTCTGCATTAACGATTATACCACGAGTACCACCACGAGCATTTGAGCATGCTCGCAGGCGTTTCGAGAAGGCGT